CAGTTGTCCTATCTTACTTGAAAGTAATGTATTAAAGTCTCCTACTATGACTGTGAAGTCATCTATTTGCCTTTTCAGCTTTTTGAAAGTCTGATTTATGTATTCTGGGGCTCTTTCATTGGGTCCATATTTATTATTTATATCTTCTTGTTCAACTGATCCTTTAATCATTATATAATGTCCTTTCTTGTAACAGCATGCTTCCCACTTCCTCCCTGTTTTTCCATTTGCATTCATCCTTCTTTCCAGTCCCTCCTTGTCTTCTGAATTTTATTCCTGTGCAAAAACTGCCCCTTTGATCTCATTTGGTTGATAGTTCTAAGGAATGCTTATTTTCCTGGTGTGACTGTTCACCTTATATGCCTGCCTATTGTTTGGCTAAAAGTTGAGCCACAGAGGTAAGTTCAGTTCCAGGCTTGAAGGGTCTCTAAGGGCCATAGCCTGCGGGGTTCCACCAGTCTCTATCAGACCAGTAAGCCTGGTCTTTTTTTTTGTTTGTTTGTTTGTCCAAATTTTTCTCCCACTCTATTCAGGACCTCTTATTGTGATCTCTCTCAGAGCAGTGGTAACTGGGCACCATCCATTTCTTCTGGACTCAGAGTCATGGAGGTTGGGGTTCATGTGGTTCATTAGTCCTTTAGACTAATTGTTTTCTTGTGTCTTTGATTTTCTTCACTCTTCTTTGCTTTGGATGAAGAGAAACCAATAGTCGCACCTTAGATGGCTGCTCACAAGCTTTTAAGACCCCAGTTGCTAGTCACCTAAGTAGAATGTAGAACATTATTTTTGTGTATACTATGTTATGTCAGTTGACCTCAATGTCCTCCAAGACTATAGTCCTGAGCCCCCAGGCCCAGTGACTCATTCCATTAAGGTGCTTGGTTATGGCTAGGAAGTTTTCATCATTTTATCCCCTCTGTGCTCTATTACATTCATGATCCAAGAACATGGGACTTGCCAGCTTCTGTAAGTTTCTGAGCCATTTTCCTAAGATAAATTTCTCTTTCCCTCTCTCTCTATATAAGCTTTACTGGTTTTGTGTCTCTAGAGACCCTAGTCTAACATACGTTATTATAGAGCAGTTAACAAAAAACTTCTATTCCTCCTTATAGTTTCAACCACATGATTCTAAAAATTAATATATTTTTGGGAGATGTGTTTGAGAAGAAATGAACATAACCCACTAGCATTTAGAAAAATCAAGAACCATATCTGCAACTCACTCTCACCAGGAAACCATTCCAATGATCTTCAAAACTTGAACTGTAGAAATATCCTGTCAAACATAAATATGTATATCTGTGTATTATTTGTGGGAGTATTTCCTCTTTTATTATTAAATCGTATTCCATTGTATCAATGGACCACATTTTATTTATTCATCCATCAATTGATGGACATCTGAGTTATTTATACTTTTGGATATTATAAATAACAATGACATTTGTTTGTATACAGGTTTTTGTTTGGATATGTTGAGTGGACAGACAAGGGTTGTATTGTATCTCAGGGTAGAAATAGTAATACTTGCTGATGGGTTGGACACAGGATTTGGGGAAGAAATCAAGAATCACTCCTAAGTTTTTGGTTGGTGCAATTAGGTTTGTTGTTGTTGTTGTTATTTGCCGTCGAGTCACCCCCGACTCTTATCGACCCCTCCTTGGGTTTCCGAGGCAGTATCACTACGGAAGTAGGATTGCCCAACCTTCCTTCTGAGGAGTGGTTTATGGTGATGCTATTTAGGAGATAAGGAAGACAAGGAAAGGAATATGGGTTGGTTTATTTATATATGTATTTTGGAAGAAGGAAGAGAAACGGACATAAAAAGCCCAGTTTGGGACTTGAGGATTGAAATTTCTGTGACATATAAGTGGAGATAGCAGAAGGCAATTGGATATACTGGCCTAGAGTTCAGAAGGAAAGTTTGGGCTTGGGAACATAAATTTGGGACTGTCAACATATGTTGTTGTTATGTGCTGTAGAGTTGGCTTTGACTCATAGTGACCCTATATACAACAGAATAAAACACTGCCTGGTCCTGCGCCATCCTCACAATCCTTGCTACACCTGAGCCCATTGCTGCAGCCACTGTGTTGGTCCACCTTGCTGAGGGTCTTCACCTTTCTTGCTGACCCTCTTTTTTTGCCAAGCATGATATCCTTCTGCAGGGAATGGTCCATCCTGATAACATGACCAATGTAAGTGAGATGAAGTCTGGCCATTCTCTCTTCCAAGGAGCAGTCCGGCTGCACTTCTTCCAGTACAGATCTGTTTGTTATTCTTGCAGTCCATGGTACTTTTGAGAATTTTTCACCAACATTACAACTTAAAAGCATCAACTCTTCTGTCTTCTTTATTCATTATCAAATTTTCACATGTATATGAGGTTTTTGAAAATTGTATAAACATATAGTTGGTACTAAAAGTCATGAGAATGGATGAGACTACTAGACAGAATGTAGAAAGAAGAGGGACCAGGGCCAAACCCTGGAGAACTCAACATCTCTAGCTCATTTTATCCTCCTCCTCTTTTATTTTTATGGAACCAATGACACATTGCCATCTTTTCCTTTTAATGGGTACCTAACATTCTACATGAAGGATAAAATATCTGTATCCTCAATCCAGAGAGTTTGAGGCAGATGTCTCTTTGTCCAAGTTATTCAAGACCTCAGAAAGCAGCAATTTTGAAGTTTCTTCTGGGTCTTTGGGAAGCTAATAGAGTGGCCACTAATAGAAAGTTTAATAATTTCTTATTCTTGAGGACCTACCTGCCCCCCAAGAAAAGAAAAAAAAACCCTGCCATTGGGTCTGTTCCAAGTCCTGGTGACACATATGTCTCAGAGCAGAAATGTGCTCCATGGGTTTTCATAGCTGTGACCTTTTAGAAGCGGATTGCCAAGTCTTTCTTCCAAGGTGCCTTTGGGTAGGTTTGAACTGCCAACGTTTTGGTTACTAGTTGACTACTTAACTGTTTGTGCCACCCAGGGAAAACCTGAGGGATCCCAGAGGGCACAATTTCCTCTTCCACAAAGATGAAGACAGGATGGATAGTGGTATGTGCAAGAGTAGGATAATGAACAAAAGGAATTATGTAGCTCAGCAAAATGATGAACTACAAACCCTTTGTTAGCAGAAGCCGTCTTGTATTGTGATAGTTGGAGCTGTGTGTCAGCTTGGCTGGACCACAGTTCTGTGTGGTTTAAGAAATTGTGATGTGGGTTGTTCCCCTGATGGGATCAGATGGATGTTTTGAGCAGCCAATCCGTTGAAAGGGAGTTTCCCTAGGGGTGTGGCCTGCATCCAGTATATTTATGGACATCCTGGGAAAAGAGACTTTCTTCGGTGGATTGGGATTCTGTTGTGCTGCCTACAACCGTCTGTGAGCACCATTTGGCCTGGAGATCTTGGATTCATCATTTGTTGAAGTCAACAGCCAGTATACTGCCTGCCAACCTTGAGCTCGTCAGCCCTGTAGCTACATGAGTCAGGAAAAGCCTCCAGCTTGACGTTTGATCCAAGAACTTGGAACTTGTCAGCTTCTCTAAATGTGTGAGCCATTTTCCTAAGATAAATTTCTCTTTCCCTCTCTCTAAGCTTTACTGGTTTTACTTCTCTAGAGACCCCAGTCTAACACATATATTACTATAGAGCAGTTAACAAAAAACTTCTATTCCTCCTTATGGTTTCAACCACATGATTCTAAAAATTAATATACCTTTGGGAGATGTGTTTATTTGGGAAGAAATGAACATAACCTACTAACCTTTAGAAAAATCAAGAACCATATCTGTAACTCACTCTCACCAGGAAACCATTCCAATGATCTTCAAAACTTGAACTGTTAAAAGTCCATTCTTGATGGTCTCACTGGAGGCCCAGAGCATTATTCAATAACAAAGAACTCAGACTTGAGTAAATGCTAGGGAGAGGGCAATGGATCCTGAGGCAGAGTGGGTAGGGTGGGCAGGAATGAGTAAGGGATCCTTATTGAAAAACTTTTGTGGATGCTTTGCCCTTGGACTAAGGGAAAAATAACATTTAGCCTTGTTCTAAATTTTCTCAACCATAATTGTTAATTCCCTCTAGTTTATCCTGTCTGTAAAGTTGAATGCACTTAAATTACGCTACTGAGTCCTGATGTCAAAGAAAGTGAGAGAGGAATTCCTCTAGGATTGTTACACTATGATTTTCCAAGTTGTAGTCTTAGAGTTGGGAGAAAGAGGGAAAATGGGTCCTAGTCACTCTGTTAGAAGAGTTCACACTTAACTATTCTAGAGACAAATGCTCTCTTTCTTTATCCCCACTGCTCCTCCTAAAACATTTATTCTCCGCAATCCATGATAAAAAGGTAGGTCTGGCCTTCCTTATTTCAACACCCCTCTGCACACTTTTAGAAGCTCTGGTAGCATAGTGCCTAAGGCACTTGACTGCTAACCAGAAGGCTGGCAGTTCAAACCCACCAGCCACTCCTCGGAAGGAAGGTTGGGCAATCTACTCCTGTAGTGATACCACCTCGGAAACCCAACGAGGGGTCACTATGAGTTGGGGCCTACTCAACGGCACGTAACAACAACAACAACTGCACACTTTTGAGGAAAGAAGATTCTACCCTGCTAACAGTAGCTGGATAGTCAATAGCAAACAATGGATGGCCATTCTTTCTCAGTGATGTAAAAGTAATTTAATGTTTGCTTAGCTTGGAAACACCTATCTGACTCAAGGTGTTAAAGCGAAAAAATCTAGAAGAAAACAAATGATAACAGTGGGAATGCTTTTTATTTTTTATGTTGCATACTTCTGATTCAGTTGTCTACAACAAGCATGTGTTACAAGTAAAATTAATGAAAAATGAAAACTTACTCAAGAAGTTACCCAAAATACATAATTAATGCTAATAACATAAATTTAATATTATCTAGGGGACAACTGATTCACATAAGTTTATTAAACACTACAATCTAACCTTGAAGTTCTCATGCCAGCAACAAAGTGATGCGTTACAATTTAGGGGAATCTCCAAGATATTTGCTGAAGAAGGTTAGAATTTGCTTCCACGCATCCACTTGGGCCTTAGAATGAGGCCTGGGCTCTCCACCCCAGATCACAGGTTTGTTCGGGATGCTGTGCAAGGACGCTGGGCACATGGGGAAGTAAGGAGGCTCAATGTAATGTCCAGTCCCAGGGTAAGAAATGATCTGGGGTTTTTTCTTTCCGTGAGCCTGTAAACGCTCAGACATTAGATGGGCAAAGTACTCACTCCTCCAGTTATGATCATCCTGACCAACAATGAAGAGGATGGGCCCCTGGGCCTTCTCTACTGGAATCATGCAAGGGTGCTCATACCCTCCAATAACATCATTCTGAATATCCACGATGTCCAGGATGCCTGAGAAAGCTACCTTGATTCTTCTCAGATCATAGCCAAATGGTGGGATGTGAATCTGCTTGTACTGTATTCTTCTGTTTGCACTGAACCCAGATCCATTGATGGAAACAGTGGCTGAGATGTTCTCCAAGAATGAGGCAATAGAGAGACAAATATTAGCCCCTAAAGAATTGCCCAGAAGCCCAATGCCTGGGCCCTTTACCTGGAAGAAAAGAAGGGAGAAGAATCAAGAACCTACACAAAAATGTTTTTCTAAAATGCCATTAGAGATGCTGCTAGTTTTAATTGTGAATTGGCTGCAAGACGATCAATCTCAGCTGATAGAGGAGTTTCTTTCCACATAAAGAATATTTGGCTAAATACATAGCAAGTAAATCTTCAATGCACTGGGAAACTTGGGTACTAGTTACAAACATTCCAGGAACCATGCACTAAAGAATGGGGAGCCAAAGAGCCTATCAAGTTTGGGAGATTGAGGGGTGTCTCATTCAGGTGAGCTTGATCCAAGTCTTAATATGGCCGAGCATCCAACTCAGTTATAGAATCAAGTTGTGTTCTAAGAAGTGAATGATTCATCAGATCCCATCTAAATATACAGAGAAACCATTAACTTCACAGAAACAATGTAAGACTTTAAGGTTCAATTAAATAGATCTTAGCCTCTGAAATAGGTGGGCAACTTCTCATCAGAAGATGGAAATATACACTGATACCAGAAAATTAAAGATTACAAACAAGCATGCAAAAATAAGAATTTAGAAGCTCTATTTGCTTTACACAAGGAATTTTAATCTTACTAAATAATTCCTTTAAAATCTCACATGGGTTTTATGACTATTTCTACATCATTAAATCCATCCGACAGAGAAAGTGGAAATAAGAGGTCCCTAAAGCCAAGAAGTCTCCAAAAGAAATGTCTTCTGTGAAAGGAGAGCAAAGCAGGATCAGTGCACCTGGTGCAGGTGAGTGCCAAGCCATGACTTCGCTGGAGATATTTCTAGAGAGATTAAGTAGGAAACACTTGGAGAACCTTGGGGTGTTGAAGCATGTAGTGCAGGGCTTCTTCAAAGTATTCCAGGTGTATGATGCCATCTGTCTTGGGGAGATCTTCAAACTCATAATAAGCTAGAGCCAACGTGGCAAAACCATGGCCAGCCATAAGGCTGGCTCGATATTCCAACAGGCCCCCTCCTAAGCCAAAAATGTCAATGATCCCTGGGAAAGGTCCAGGTCCTAAAGGAAGCAGTAGTATAAAACAAAGGCATTACACAACTTTAAAAATAAGCTTTTATTTTAGAGACCTTTTAAATTATCGAGTGGGTACCTGTGAATCGAGAATCGACTCAATGGCCGTGAGTTTGTTCTTTTGGTTTGTGAAGCAAAGAAAAGAGAATAGATCCCTGAGTTGTTACTGAAAAGGGATACAAGCTCCTTGGAGGAAGGAAAACCTAATACACAAAGTACCTTCTCCCTGATGACTTGAGCCTCCATATGATTCCATGATAACTTATCTGCAAAGTTCTAAGAATCTAGCTGTTGTACTCATTGCTGTCAAGTCAGATCCGACTCATAGCAACCCCTCCTTGGGTTTCGGAGGCAATAGATTGCCCAACCTTTCTTCTGAGGAGTGGCTGGTGTCAAATGCCTTAGGCACTATGCTACCAGAGCTCCCAGGTGTTGTCACCTCTTGTTAATACATTGTGGAAGGAGAAATTTCAAGTTTTAGACAGTGTGGATTCCATGTTCTAAAAAGACCAGTTACAGTATTGGATATAGAATTAAGAATCTGAAGCAAAGCTTTATGTCATGTTGCATCAACCCTTGCATTTTTGTGTCTTGATATTTTAGATGTTTATTGAAAGAAACTGAGAGAAAAGGCAAATACTTAAGAGATAGTTTTAGGTGAGGGCAGGAGTAATGTCTAAAATGTGATCTTTGTTATTTACCCAAACCTGCTGCATTCCAGTGGTTTGACTCAGAGTCTCTATAGGACAGAGCAGAACTGCCCCATAGGGTTTCCAAGGCTATAATCTCTACTGAAACAAACTGCATCTTTCTTGTGTGGAGCAGCTGATGGGTTCAAACCACTGGCCATTGGATTACATGCCAAGTGCTTAACCACTATGCCACCAAGGCTCCTTTTATCTGTGGTATCAAACCAAAAAACCAAACCCACTGCCATCAAGTCGATTCCAACTCATAGAAATCCCCCTTTGGGTTTCTGAAGTGGTAAATCTCTAGGGAAGTGGAATGCCCTGTCTTCCTTCTGCGGAGTGGCTGGTGGGTTTGAACCACCAACTTTCTGGTTAGCAGTCAAATGCCTTAGGCACTACTTCACCAGAGCTCCTTTATCTGTGACACAGGGTACATAAAGAAGGCACCCATCGTACCCAAAACACCAAAAGGGCCACGTGGCGATACGTTCCGTTGACCATAATCATCCGGAGAATTGGTCAGGATGATACCTGTAGAGATCTATGGGGTGGTTAAATAGCAAGGTGGGCAACGTCTCTACCAACGCTGAGCCTAGCTTTTATCTGCAGAATTAACAATATGGAAATTAAATGAGATGATAATGCAAGTAAAGGCATAGCACAGAGCCTAACGTAACAACACCGTCCATTTTGGTTGCTCGGCCACGGAGTCAATGTGGCGGCTTCCTGACAAGGGTCCAGAGCCCACTCCTAGCCCGACAAACCATGGACGCCTCAGGCCACACGCTTCTACACCCTCCTTCCACCCCCTGCGCGGCTCCAGCTCACCTGGCGGCAGGAAGAGCGTGGCGCGCACCCGCGCCGCGCGCACCGGTTCCCTCCGCACGCCGGGCCGTAAGAAGTAACGTTCGTGCACCGTTCGACCTAGGACCCGCGGTGGCTCGGGCTCGTGGCCCTCGAGTACCTCCAGTTCCACTGCGAAGGGCGTCTGCACGTCCTTCTTCAAGAACCGCCAAAAAGGCTTCTCGGGCTCCAGGGCCCAGATGAGTCCCATAGGCTCGAGTCCGACAAAGCTGCCGCCCAGGGCGGGAGTGCGCGTCAGGTCTAGCTCGCCGCCGCGGTCCGCACGGTAGCGTGCGTGGGCTCGGAAAAGCGTGCCCTTCTCGTCGCGCAGGGACGCGCGCAGCGTAACCCACTGCTCCCGGGCCAGGCCGCGCACCAAGATGCGCACCGGCTCGTCCCAGCAGCAGCGGCCTGCGGGCTCCACGATCACAGTAGCCGCCATCCCGAAGCCAGGCGGGGAGGCCGCCGCGAGGGTTCTGTCGCAAGCCTCGGGAGTGCTTACTGGCTCAGGGAGAGGCTGCTGGCTGAGCGGCCCCAGGAGCACTTTAGACCAGTGGACACTGTTCTTCAGACAGGTCGGAGGTAAAAAGAACTAGACTCCTCCCAGCCTGGAAGGCTCTGGTGTGGGTGTGGCGTTGAACCCCAGCTCTAGGACTCTGTCCTCAAACCACTCTCAATTGTTGGATTAGGTGATCGATTTATTTGGCCTGGTTCCAAACCATGTGTAACTGGTAGAATTACAGCCCTTCCACGAAAAAGGGAAACTTATTTGCTGCTGTTGTTTTATATATCTGTATATCTATATGTTGTT